CGTGGACTGATCTGGATTTTAAACCAAATTTTCCTTTTTGTTTTTTTTTTTTTTTTAGCTACAACCATATAAAGTTTTCTTTTTTTTTTTAACACAATAATTTAAAATTCGAATTACTTTATTTAAGTTAAAGCTTAAAATTTTTTAAATTACAAAGTTATTTATTTAACTGTAATACATTTGTTTTAATTGCATAATTTATATTTATCATTACTCTACTCGCTACTTAAATATAATTTTAACATTTCTGGAATTATAAAACTTGAAAATATTGGTAGTTTCATTCTTTGTCGTTTCAATATTTTGGCTTTGATTTTGAATATTTTTAAATGGAATTTGATTCTTTGTTATTTTAATATGTTGAGTTTGGTCTTGAACATTATTGAATGAAGTTTGATCTTCAGTTATTTCAATATGTTGGGTTTGGTCTTGAATATTTTTGAATAGAATTTGAAATAGCTTGTTCAACTTCACTTAAATTTTTTGTGTGTAAGCTTTGGTTTTTTTTTGTGAATAATTTGATGTGAAACTTGTGTAGCAGTAGAATTAAATTCGTGTTGTATGACTGAAGAAGTATCTTGCATAACTTGTTGTGTAGTTTGAAATTCTTTATGTAGTGTAATTTAAACTTCATGTTGCATAACTTGAGACACTTTATATTGTATAGCTTGAAATTCATCTGGTTGTATAACTTGAAAATTCTCTTGCTGCATAATTTGAGATTCTTCTTGTTGCATAACTTGAGATTCTTCTTGTTGTATAACTTGAGACTTCTCTTGTTGGGATTCTTCTTGTTGTATAATTGAAGATTCTTGAAGTACATTAAGTAACAAGATAGAATTTTTAAGCCGTTGTTTATTATTAAGAATTTTGTAAGTACATAGCCCATCAGTTGAATGATGACCTGAAAATTGTATCATTTCATGCTCATTAACATTAAGATCTGATAAAAGTTGAATAGCAGTTCTCGTTTCTGAATAATTAGTAATTCTTTGATCAGTAATGTTAATACCTGAGATATGAGCAGTTTCTTTCATCATATTGCTTAAAGTATTTTTTTCTAATCTTTCTTTACCAAACCAGTTTTCATTATTAATTTTTTGAGCATTCCTTGTTAATTGCAAATAAAAATATTCATATACATCTGATAGATGTAAATTAACATAATTACAAAGATTTTAAATTGGTTTAAATTTATTATTAAGTTGATCAGCTGGAATATGAATTTGACGGCTAGTAAATCTTCTATATTTATTTCGACCTTTTAATCTACTTTGATTGTTTTTCCCATGCCCAATTATAAAAATCAAACTTCCATCTTGTTGAAAATTAAAACAACTTAATAAAAGTCAATAATGATCACTACCACGAAGTCCCAGTAAGTATGTATTCCAGAAAAAAGCTTTCTAAGTAAGTTTTAATGCTGTTTGTTTACCAGATTCAAGATATAATATAATCTGATGAATTTCTTCTGCAGTTAAACCTTTTGACTAATCAATTTTACCTAGTCCTTGATCTTGTAATTCTATAATTTTTCTATCTACAACATGATATAATATAGAAAATTGAAATTTATCATTGATATTCATATTCTTAATAGCAAAAACTTTAAAAAAGTAATGATGAAGTGAGGTATAAACAGATACAATTGATTCTGGTTTATATGGTTTTCCATCTTGTCGTTTCATATCTGCAAAAAATTCACACAATTCTTGCTCAAGCTGATTTTTGTCATTAAGTGTTTAAATATCATAAAAAATACTCTTTTTATTACGATATTCTTGTAAACTTTGAATCTATTTTTGTGTACAGATATCAGTATTTTTAATTTTAGATTTATTTATATAACGTTGAATATTATTTTCAGTTATATTATTAGAATTATTTGATGTATTAAGTTCATGAGTAGATGTAAAATTATTTGACGAAGATATTGGAAAAGAATTAATTTTTTTAATTGATTTTTTTATTATTTATTTAAAATTCTACGCTTATCGGTTATGTCACTTTTAAAGAAATAATATGCAAGTATAATTGAACCGTAGAATAAATCAGTTATTAATCACAAAGCGGGTATAACTAAAAATCTAAGCAATCTTAATTATTCAGATAATTATAGTATTTGTATATTGTATATAACTTAGAGAATTTCTGAATAAAGTGTCTATTTATAATTTTTAAAGCTATACGATTGACTATTTCACAAAATTTTGTCTTTGTCTCTCCCCGTCTAGTAAAATTTCTTCTAAAAATTAAGGATTTTTAATCACAACGATTGGTTCCCATGTCTGTTTTTCGTAATACTTTGCTAGTCAATCACTATTATAGTACTTCTATAGTGTTTTTCTATCTAATATTCATAGTTTGTAAGCTCTATTATTTAGTTTCACTTATATAATATAGAGTTCTTCTCTTTTGTCTTCGAATTTAGCTGATCTTAACTTTTCTAAAGCCTTAATTTGTATTCAAACTTTTTCACCAATTGCTATATTCTTGTAGCAACAGATTACTTAACTCAATAGCTAGAAGTCTGTGCTATACCAGATGCTAGAGCTA